AAGAAATGGTTCTGGTGGGGCAAGTGAGGCTTTTGGAATGGTAGAACTATGGATGTATGGTACAACTATGGATGTATGATCGAACTATCGTTGTATGGTAGAACTATGGTTTTATGATAGAACCATGCTTATATGATAGAACTATGGTTGTATGGTAGAACTATGGTTGTATGATAGAACTATGGTTGTATGATAGAACTATGGTTGTATGATAGAACTATGGTTGTATGATATAACTATGGTTTTATGATAGAACTATGGTTATATGATTGAACTATGGTTTTAGAACTTGTGGTCTTAGTGCCCTGAAAAACTAACCTATCACGTCTCTTCCTAGTCGCCACTACTACCAGGATGGGCAATGACCACAACAAAACAAATGATAGTACTTTATAACCCTATCTCGTCCACAAGATAAACCTAAATTAGTATCAACTCGTGATTTAGAACACAATTCAATGGAACACATACATCAAGTTTTACCTGACATATTCATTAATATATTTAATAAGATTCATTGATAAAAACATGTTCAGTAGCTGTCAAAAACCCATACATCAAGTTTTATCTGACACATTCATATAAAATATTTTGTAGCTGTCAAAAAACCTTACTCATCCGTTCATTGTTCGTCCTTCATACCTCATCTTACTCGATTTAGTACTTGGCATTTTTATAGAATTCATTGATTAATTCGAAATTAGGTCATTTCTTCATAACTCTCACCATTCATATCTCACCCAAAAATTAAGGACTGCTCGTACTAACTAATTAATTCAAATTAACTGATTTCAATCAACTGGTATTAACTGGATAATTAAATGCGTTGCCAACCACTTACCTAGCCTCACTTCGTAAATGAATTAATGCTTAATTGATGATCAGAATCTAATTAAGAGCGACTCATTGACCGTGAATATAAGTTTATGTAGTTTTTCTTTGTTATTTTAATAGTTATTCATTTTTTTCAAGAACTCGGCCACGATGGATACACAATTATCTGCTTTTAATATGTGCAAAAATTGGGCAATTTCTTGCCAATACTCGCAAGTATTTGAAAATTGTATATTTTTCCTAGAAATATGTACAATATCTTCTTACCGTGAAAAAGATATCATTGCAATAGATTTTCAACTAATTTTCAGAAATATTTAATTGATTATTTTTGAATACCACGAAACTAGGATCAAAAAGAATATGAAGGTAAAAGGGCCCAATAATTGTTAACAAAGGATATAGCTTCGAAATATTATGTTTCTATTGTATATGGGAAAAAGTCTAAGGGCGTACTATAAAAACTTACTTTTGTACACGTAGTGGCTGATTTATCTTCTGTGATTGATTGGTTTACTTAGAGAAACCGTCAGCGATTGGCTACGTGAGCTATGAACACTGATTATTATTATTAATAATGAGTTATTAAATTATTATTAATAATAATAATAATAATAATAATAATAAGAAAATTACTTTCGTTGAGACGGTCATTGTGCTTATATTAGGATCAGGTAGGCATCTAAGTTCATGTTTTGTATTTACTGCTGTTAATTCCTTGTTGGCTATTGCAAGATATTGTTGTAATTTGATTTAAATATGAATGTGATTGTACTCTTCCTCATCTCTTCAACTGTAGGAGATTAAATTACTTTATAACAGAACCCATGATCGATAACAGAACCCATGAACTTAATGAATATATTGAATATTTTCTCCCTCTAATTTGAATAATGTATAGTTATTTAGCATAAAGTAAACATTTCGGCCAGTTATGCACATCTTTTAATTGGGGAACTTTTACTTTAAATGTATTTAGTTGAAGAATTAATTGAAGGTTCAACTTCCATTATCTTTCAATCTACTTTTCAATTTATGATGTGTTGTTTTTCATCCGAATGAAAGATGTAATCTGAAGAATTTAATATTTGATGTTGGATTAAATCGTTGAGATCTGAATGCTTTACGATGTTTAATTTTCTAATTAATTATTCATCAACATTCTATGTTATTTTACGTCAAATTTTGAAGCATATTTCTTAGATCATTCTACCTCTATTCCGTCTACGCGTTTTCGTTTTTGCAAATTTGGATGGTTTAGTAAACTTTTATATTTTTACTTTTCAAAAAATTTGTTCTAAGTTATATAATTTAAATTTCTTTAAACTTTTTGAGATAATAGGCGCGTCATTACGAGCGTCGAATACAAACTTATGTGCAATCATTTGTATAGAATATCTGAAGTCTTATTATTTATTTTTAACTACATATTTTTTCATTTACCAGTTGCCATAAAATTGTTCATTGTTAACAATTGTTTTACATGAACTAAAGAATTGCTTAACCCTCCTGCATGTAGTCTTCGGGTCAAAATGACCCACATTTTCGACCCTATGCCCAGATGGCATAGCGCTTATACTCGAAATGAAGACAAGCAAAGGTTAAAATTTTCCAGCGCCTCGATTTTTTTCCGTGGTAGCTTCGTCTACTCGAACATTTATATTCAATTTATTACGAGGTTCAATTACAATTAGCTATAACTCAAATATTTATAAGGAATTTAAAAGCAAAGAAAACGCCAAGAAAATTCAACATATCGATATTGAAAACGAAGTACGTTTTCTACGTTTTCAATATCGATATGGTGAATTTTCTTGGCGTTTTCTTTGCTTTTAAATTCCTTGTGAACTTGCGATGTAAGCAGGCTAATAATATAAGTACTCAAATATTTATGATAATACTCTGGATATTTAATGATGGATTTTTATTATGATCCGGTGTGTGCAGTTTGTACTGGAGCATATATGAGAATATTATTAATTCCGATGGAGTGTTGGTAGAAATTATCTTACTTCCAGATTAATGTTAATAATTTAGATATAGGATATTTATTGTTCCAAATGTATCAAATAAAAATGATATTACTTGCGGTGATGAATATCCATCTTGGCCGAGTTCTGCATCAGACATTTTACTAAAACATTAATGTTTTTTCTTTGTACTTCGAATTTTTACAGCTTTGTTTGACTTGTAACAAATTCCTTCTAAACTTAGGTTAGCGATACGCTTGTGGATTTGCATTTCAAAAAATAAATGTATATATTGACTGCTTGCAATATTATTTATAGGTTAGGAAATTTATGCTAATGATCTTTATATTAATGGTAGAAACATAAAACTTCTTGTAAAGTGTAATTTGTGATGGTATTGTATACGGTGTAAAATAATACGCGCGTTTTGTACGTGATTGCTGGATTTCTATCGATTTGTGAACCTCATAAATTGTCTTAATTATACCTATCATAGCATCTAGTAACTAATATTCTAGCCTGAGTCACGACTTAATTTAATACAAATTTTCGTTTGACTAAATTAGTTAATGAGATTAATTGATATTTATAATGTAATGCCGAGCGCCAGCATACCGTGTATATATGTCAGTGCTCTTACCTTTCACTCTCTTCAATGGTATCTATGCAAGGAGCTGAAATTGAGTTGAATTTATTCTCTGATTTGATTACCTTTTATTGAATTAGTACGTCTCTCAACAAAAATCTATGCCCATTTTCCCAAGATAAAAAAATAGGTTGACGTACGTGTCTTTAAAATCAGGAGTTATGACTCGATTTTCCAGTCTAATTGCCGATTTAATTTTCCCATGATTTCAGTTTTAATTTCCAGCTGGATAATATCTTTTTGTGCATCCTCAATTTCTTGCTTTTTTTCGCTCTTTCCGTATTAAGAACTCAATGCTCACCGGGTTATTTAATTTAATTAGACCGTATTTTTATCCTGAATGATAAATGGTTATGCTGCGTGCCAGCCTTCGTAGCAATATCATTCCGGATTTTACGAGTGTTTATCTTGTATTCAAGTTATTAACTTTACCTTAACTTGGTATGTAATAAAGCAGTGCCTTACTAATAATACTAATATTTAATAAAATACCGCATATTCATTAAAAAAATTATAACGCTCCATCACATTGTGTCATAATGCGAAACACACATTAATGCTCATCAGTTTCAATCTATTTTCATTATTTTCTAAGCTATATAACTGGCCCGTTGCCACGTACATTGAACAATTAGTTTGTTTTAATTATTCGCAGCTTTTTAAAATAAAACAACCATGCACACATTGTCCAAGAATTTATAAGAAAAAAAAAGAAGTTTATTCTTTAAATTCTCAATGAATTGTTATATTTTCATTGGGAATATTGTGATTTTTTTTGCATTCTCTTCGCCTTAAAATTATTATTCAATTAACGATTTAAGCACAGTAATAATATAGAAGCTTCCATACGAACTTATTGTTCTCTGACACTCATGTTCATTTCAGATCGTACAGCTAATCTTTACAATCGAAAACAAAATATTCACCAAAATTCACCAACCTACACCAACCTACACTATTGTTCACCATCCTGCACTATTGTTCACCACCTACACTATTGTTCACCAACCTACACTATTGTTCACCACCTACACTATTTTTACCAACCTACACTATATTTTGTTTACTAATCTACATACACTATTGTTCATTAACCTACACTATTCTTCACCAACCCCCACAATGTTCCACCACTGTTCACGGCAGTTCCCAATCATCCACCACTGTTCACGACAGTTCCCAATCGTGCACCACTGTTCACGGCAGTTCCCAATCGTCCACCACTGTTCACGACAGTTCACAATCGTCCACCACTGTTCACGACAGTTCCCAATCGTCCACCACTGTTCACGACAGTTCCCAATCGTCCACCACTGTTCACGACAGTACCCAATCGTCCACCACTGTTCACAACAGTTCCCAATCATCCACCACTGTTAACCCAATCATCATCCACCACTGTTAACCCAATCATCATCCACCACTGTTAACCCAATCATCATCCACCACTGTTCACGACAGTTCCCAATCGTCCACCACTGTTCACGGTAGTTCCAATAACTGTTCACGGTAGTTGCCTGTTGTTCACGACCATGCCCTGTTCACCACAGATCGTAGAGACGCGGCAGCAGCAGCACATCATGTCAGAGAAGGAGATCATGATGAGCGCAAACTGTGACTTCATCGTCAAGCTTTTCAAGACTTTCAAAGACAGGAAATATTTATACATGCTAATGGAGTCGTGCCTCGGGGGCGAACTGTGGACCATCCTCAGGTGAATTAAGATGGGGGAGTTTAGGTGAACTAAGATGGGGGAATGCAGGTAAATTAAGATGGGGGAGTCTAGGTGGACTAAGATGGGGGAGTCTAGGTGAACTAAGATGGGGGAATGCAGGCAAATTAAGATGAGGGAGTCTAGGTGAAAGTCTAGATAGGCCTTAGTCGTCATAATCATAGGCCTTATTCACCGTCTAGGTGAACTAAGATGAGAGGCTAGGTGAACTAAGATGGGGGAGTCTAGGTGAACTAAGATGGGGGAGTCTAGGTGAACTAAGATGGGGTGTGTAGGTGAATTAAGATGGAGGAGGCTAGGTGAACTGAGATGGGGGAGTCTGGGTGAACTAAGATGGAGGAGTCTAGGTGAACTAAGATGGGGTGTGTAGGTGAACTAAGATGGGTGTGCCTAGGTGAACTAAGATGGGGGAGTCTAGGTGAACTGAGATGGGGGAGTCTAGGTGAACTAAAATGGAGGAGTCTTGGTGAACTAAGATGGGTGTGCCTAGGTGAACTAAGATGGGGGAGTCTATGTGAACTGAGATGGGGGAGTCTAGGTGAACTGCAGAGATGGGGAGTCTAGGTGAATTAAGATGGGGGAGTCTAGGTGAACTGAGATGGGGGAGTCTAGGTGAACTGAGATGGGGTAGTCTAGGTGAACTAAGATGGGGAAGTCTAGGTGAACTAAGATGGGGAGTCTAGGTGAACTAAGATGGGGGAGTCTAGGTGAACTAAGATGGGGAGTCTAGGTGAACTAAGATGGGGGAGTCTAGGTGAACTAAGATGGGGGAATCTACGTGAACTAATTTGGGGGACAATAGGTGAACGGGTGAAGAGAAACTAGAATTGGTTTGCATATTTTTTACTAAATCAGAGCAATCGTAAATTTGACATTCGCCATGGCGAAATGTGCTGATTATCGATTGTGAATTGTGCTGCAAATTTGAAATGCCATTATTTGGTTGCAAGTTTAACTATTTCAAGTAAAATGAATACCATATCTTCTTAAATTTTTGGAGTCAAAACGCACATAAACAAAAATATAGGTTATTTTTCTTTATATTTTCTATTGTAATGAGTAAACTTTTTCTTATATGTAATATCAACGGAAAACGGACTTTGTATTACGAATTCCGGTGGTTAACAAATCACGTATCAACACACAGTCTCTATCGCTATAACCGTATAGAAAACAAATAGTAGTATAATATTCTTTCAATTGTATTATTTTATCAATGATCAACTAGTAAATAAATCGAGATTATATGTCGATTTATTTAGTATGGTATACTAATATAGTATAGTATATTAGTAAATAAATCGAGTATGAACGCGTTCAAGAACAGACTAGACAAGGCCATGCATGAGCATATGTTTAGTCTTAGAATGCCTCGTACCCTACGGAACAACTGATATCTAGAAGCTATATTATATCTACCGTCCGTTGAAAAGATCTGATCAAAAGGCCAGTCTAGTCAAGAAAAGTACAAGAATCGGCGACAGGCCTATCCAGGTCTATTCTTTAAATGCCGAAGATCCTATACTATACTATACTAATATTTACTGAAATTCGCAGAGATCGCGGAAATTTCGACGACCAGACAACGCGGTTCTACACAGCTTGTGTTGTAGAGGCGTTCGATTACCTGCACTCTAGAGGGATAATATACAGAGACTTGAAGCCAGAGAACCTTTTGCTCGACCTCAAGGGCTACGTCAAACTCGTCGACTTCGGCTTCGCAAAAAGGCTTCAGGTAAGACGCTGAAAATTAGTACCTATCAACTTTATTCTATTTATTTAATTTTTTTGGCGAAAATTATTTAAAACGTGTCGTCCGTTAGGAGACTTTAATTATTCAGGTTATCTGAAATATATCTCTGGTATTTTTATGATTTACGAAAAAATCGCTGCTACATCACCTTTGTGAAATGTATTATTATCGTCAAGGTAGGCCTTATCCTCTATTGTCAAGCTAGGCCTTATCCTCTACCGTTAAGATAGGCCTAATCTTCCAGCGTTAAGAATGGCCTTATCCTGTATCGCTAAGGTAGGCAGTTAAAATTGGCCTTATCCTCTTACGAAATGAACAAATATTTATTTTCTCGAGCCGCCGAACATTCTTCTAAGAACCTCCTAAAATTCTTACCACTGTGCCCTCGTGTGTTGCCGCAAACATTGCTTGAAGCGAACGATCTTATTTAATTTAATCGCGCTTCTTTTTTTGTTCTTTAATTCCCCCCCTTGACGTCATCCAAGTTCTCGTTAAACTAAGAGAAATTAATAAGACTTTGTCCGAGAAGTGGTGCACTTTTGTCCTTCTGTGAGTCACCTTCACCGAGTCGGCCTGGAAAAAGGACATATCAGATTGATACTTACCCGCAGCAATTGAGACACTATTTGGACAATATTAGATTTATTAATTTGTCTGAGTTTTTCCATATTTTTTAATCAAATATTGATGTATTTTATTGAAAAATGACGTTTTTTATTCAAAAAATGATGTTTTTTTCCAAGAATGATGCTTTTTATTAAAAAAATTATGTTTTTATATTCAAGAAATGATGTTTTTATATTCAAAAATGATGTTTTTTTATTGAAAAATTGATGTTTTTTTATTAAAAAAATGATGTTTTTTATTTCAAAAAAAAACTGTTTTTTCGTGTGGCCAGGTCGGCCGTAAGACCTGGACGTTCTGCGGCACGCCCGAGTACGTCGCTCCAGAAGTTATCCTGAACAAAGGACACGACATCTCAGCCGACTACTGGTCGCTCGGCGTCCTTATGTTCGAACTCCTCACAGGTCTGTAATTATAGGAAACGGGATTACAGTATAGTTAAAAATATACATGATACCATGGTATTGCATCCCAGTGAAAATTTACAGACGCGTTATGGTCGCTCGGTGTCCTTATATGTTCGAACTCCTCACAGGTCTGCATACCCAGTGAAAATTTACAGACGCGGCAGCTTCTGATTTGGATTACCAGAAGCTGGGGCGACTCTAAATTTTGTTAGGGATGGACCGCATCCTGCCTGGGGTTTAGGATTTAAAGGGCATCCTGCTTAGAAATTAAGGGATTTCTTTATGCTTAGTATTTAAAAAGTAGGATTTAAGTGACCGCATCAAACGTGGGCTTGAAGACCGTTTAAATACCGTTTCGTGCTTAGTCTTCAAAATTTTAAGGACCATATTAAACTTAGGTTTTAACATTTGAGGTACCGTATAATTTTTGGGCTTTGCACTTTAAAGAACCTTATCCAGTTTAGGCTTCAGGATTTTAAGGACCGTATTGTGCTTAATTGGTTATAGCTTTTGAAGTACCATAAAATTCTCGGGCTTTACCGTATCATGCTTAGAGCTTCCAAGTTATTGACCCGCATCCTGCAATTAAACTTCACGATTTATTTCCATAAATCTTTAGTAACAGAAAATCCCCGTTATGAAATTACCACCCGTTCAAGTTTTCTGTTGAACACACAAACATCAACTTGATAAAAAAAGCGATTGAGACTCGGTCATGCATCATTATTTTAATGATTAAACCCTAGCGTTACTATGAGGCTAAAATAGAAGTATAACCATGCCCAGATGTTAAGGCTCGGAACTGCATCTATATTTTAATGACGAAACCCTAGGGTTACTACCCAGTGAAAATTTACAGACGCGCCAACTTCTGATTCGCAGATTACCAGAAGCTGGGGCGACTCTAAATTGTTCTAGGGTCTGAGGCTAAAATAAAAGTGTAACTATGCCTTGATGTATGAGACTCGGAACTGCATCTCTATTTTAAACACCAAACCCTAGGGTTACTATGAGGCTAAAATAAAAGTGTAACCAAGCCTTGATGTGCTCAGGCACTCCGCCGTTCACTGGTCCCGACCCCATGAAGACCTACAACTCCATCCTGAATTTATGTACGAGACTCGGTACTGCATCTATATATTAATAACCAAACTCTAGGCCTAAAATGAGACTAAAATTAAAGTGTAACAAAGCCTTGATGTGCTCAGGCACTCCGCCGTTCACTGGTCCTGACCCCATGAAGACCTACAACTCCATCCTGAAGGGGATAGATGCCGTGGAGTTCCCTAGGGACATCACCAAGACCGCTAACAGCCTCATCAAGCGCCTGTGTCGGGACAATCCTGCCGAGCGACTAGGATACCAGCGCGGGGGCATCAAGGATATTCAGAAACACAAGTGTGTATTGTATTAGTGTGTTACTAGTGTGTATTGTACTACTGTGTAGTGTACTGGTGTGTAGTGTACTAGTGTGTAGTGTACTGGTGTGTATAGTGTAGTCTTAGTCTCAGTTTTATGATGAGTTCGGGACTTCCTAGTCCCCGGTCACGCTGATGCGCCGCCTTCGTCGTCCTCCGTCTCCGAGTCGTCGTCCTCGAGTATACTAGTGTGTGGTGTACTACTGTGTAGTGTACTAGTGTGTAGTGTACTAGTGTGTAGTGTACTAGTGTGTAGTGTACTAGTGTGTAGTGTACTAGTGTGTAGTGTACTAGTGTGTAGTAACCAATCACCCTAACCCCCAATCTAATCCCCCTCCCCCCATCTAATCACCCTCCCACCACCTAATCACCCCCCCACCTAATCACCTCACCCAATCACCCTCCACCTAATCAGCCTCCCCCCTGCAGATGGTTCGAAGGGTTCCACTGGGACGCGCTCAAGACGCGTAAGCTGACACCCCCCATCGTGCCGAGGGTGCGCGGGGTGCTGGACGCCAGCAACTTCGACGAGTATCCTGCCGACGCTGAGTCTCCGCCGCCTGATGACATCACGGGATGGGATATTGATTTCTAAATTACAACTTACTTCTTTACCAGTTTACAGTGTTTTTTTTTCATATTTACAATTTTATCATTGATATTTTTTCATATTTCTAATTTTATCATTAATATTTTGTCATTTTTCAAATTTTATCATTGATATTTTTTCCATATTTTTACTTTTTTCAATTATTGATTATCATTGCGATTCAGATTTTTTGCATTTTGTTTACATAAGATAATATATAGTTCAGTTTTTATCGTCCGTATTTCATTTGAAAAATTAAATTTCAGTCATGACTGCTATCGTCTGCTTGTCTCTGTTGCTTAGCAACTTCATTGCATTTCTATTCTATTCCTTTCATTATTTTTTCATGTTAGAAAGACGAATTAATTGATTACGATAAGACTACAGCAATTTTTTCCTCGATTATTTTCCGGTCGATCTTTTTAGCGCATATTTTCGCTCATTCTCCCCTAAAGAAAATTATGAACGTGGGTAGAGTGCAAGACCAATAAATTTACGGCCACTGATGAATGTCTCTAAGTTTACTAATCATTAATGTTCCTAGTTCAACTTATATGCATAATTAATTTCCAGGTTTTCTCCAATACTGACAGCAAAAATGTATGCTGGGTGAATCTACGTCTGAATAGCCATTTTTTGAAAAAAACGTTGACTTTTCCAAAAGCGAAAACCCATTCAATTTTTCTCACAGAAATGTTCATTATCACAAGAAATCTCACCATGTTAAAAAAATTTTCGGATAGAATTCATTCAAATTTATTATACCGTATCCATTTGGACTGAATTTCATCGTTATTTTGAAATTTTTCTTCAGTTTTCAATCAATTTTTTCTGGTCAGTACCATAAATAAAAAACGGTACAGTATAAGTCGGCGTTTTTCTCCATAAAATATATTTTTTTTATTGTGATAACAGGAGTGCATGAGAAAAGAATGATAAGAAAAAATTTACCGCTAATTTGAAATATTTTTATTAGTTTTTCTAGACTTGAGTTGCGAAGAAGCAATATATGTGAAGAATTCCTGTGGAAGCAATTTTTATAAGAAATGTTATTGTATATTTCCAACCCAAAGATCGACTTGATGAATGGAATATGGTTTTCTACTTCATGTTTCAACCATTGTTATAGGAATATTAATTATTGTTCATTGGTGTCATTAAGAAAATTGTTATATATCAATACTTTTCCAACCACAATGCTAATTAATAATTATTGATTATTGTTCATTGGTGTCATTAAGAAAATTGTTATATATAAATATTTTTCCAACCACAATGCTGATTAATAATTATTGATTATTGTTCATTGGTGTCATTATGAAAATTGTTATATATCAATATTTTTCCAACCACAATGCTGACCTAAGTACTATAAATTTTCTCAATTCTAGAGACAAGACATAATTTTTAAAATAATTTATATTACAAAACAAGTTTTTAAGTGGGTGGGAAGTTATTCAAGTGAAGTTTATCTTGAAATGAAATCATTTGATTCTTAGTTATAATAATAACTACGATAATGTAATAATAGATCATATTTCTCGAAATTGTGTATTGCCCAGAAATGTGAAATTTTGTTTGGACCATTTTAATTATTATAGTTTTAGTGTGGCTTTTAACATTTTTATTGAAATTATTCCGAGTTAAAATTATTTTCTAATTTTTTTCATAAATTTTTAATCTTACTATGTAGAGGAAATTATAATTGATTTTAAAATTTTCTTTCGAAGATTTGATAAATTTATTCAAAAACTAGAAGTTTAAGAGATGCAATTTTCATGGAAAATATATAGCAATATAAAAATCAATGTTATTATAAGGGACGATTTCGTTTCTTTTCTTCTATCAACTTAATGTTGTGAGGCTTGTAGACTATGATATTTATCATATATACTTACTAATAGATTTTAGTAAGTATACATTTTGATTGTTTGCTTTGTATTTCAATTGGAATTTTAGTTTTTGTATTATGGATCTCACCACATGTTGAGGGATATTGTTTCTACCCCCTCAAATCTCATTGAACCCCCTTCACCCCATTGAACCTCCTTCACCCCATTGAACCCCCTTCACCCCATTTAGCCCTTCTCACCCCATTGAACCCCTCCCAGTAAACTGAAGCACATGATCTCAGTGCAACTTTTCATTCAGTTCAAATTTTCTTTGCCCCGTAACTCAACCAGGTGAACTAAGCATGTTCAGCCATCATTTAATTGACAATCTTTTAATAAATAGTTTCAACCGGAACCGAATAACCTGAACAGAATGTCTGAGTTGGTCATTATTTCAAACTTTTATTATTATTTTGAAGCGTTGTGTTTATTTTTGTCCGATATTACAATATTTAGTATTTTACCCACGTTTTATTCTTTTATCGATTTTTTTTTCTTTCTTTATTACAAGTCTCTTCGTATTATGACGTATGCTTCAAACTTTGTATAGCAAGTTTGACGATAAACTTGATGAAGTGAAACAATGATTCTGTAGTAAAGTTAGTTCGAAATTTTCCGGGATGACTTTGCGAAAATATGCAGAAAGATTTATTCAAAAATATAATTTTCTATATGAATTGTTGATGGATTTCGGCCGTTTCCATGAAACGTCATCTAAATAGTTCGAACTAATTCTTCAAAATAGGTTCTGCAATCGAAAAAAATTGATAGAGTATATACTTAGAATCTACCACCTCAAACGTTAAGCTTTTCTTTTTTATCTTCAAGTATTTTTTCTTTATACCGAAAAATCGCACCGATTTCCAAAGCTCTAATTGATATTATTTGTGACTAATTCGTTTATAATTTTGATATTCCTTCAGATCGTTCATTTTTTATTGTGCACGTTTAGTTCCTGTAATGTGCAATCATGTTGATAACAGTTTAGTTATATTTTTACAACAAAGCGACCTGTCACTTTCTGGGTAATTTTCTTCAGTAGCGATTTGACCATTTCTTAGTTCCGAGGTATTAAATATCAAATATCTTGCTAGATATCAAATATCTTACTAGATATCAAATATCTTACTAGATATCAACTATCTTACTAGATATCAAATATCTTACTAGATATCGAATATCTTACTAGATATCAACTATCTTACCAGATATCAGATATCTTACTAGATATCATATCTTGCTAGATATCAAATATCTAACTTTTTATGTACCGCTCACTTCAAATACTCACAAAGATGATGAAAGTCGCGTAAGGAATACCGAGAAATTCTTAGAAATACCGTACATTGACGTACACGTAGGATTTGATGAAACGTTTCCTGGGTAACAATTATATTTTAAAATAGAATTTTTTCAATTCACATTAGTTGAAAAAGTGATCTTTTCTTATTATTGTCTGAAATGAATAACGAAACAAGTAATTTAGTCGAAGATTTTAGAGGTATTGAAGCAGTTCTGTTTTATTATAGTTGTTGAAACAAAATATTTCTTCAGGATATTGTTATCTCAATATTGTAATAGACTTTCATGCCATTTATGTCAGCTTTTAATCTACTGTAAATTGCAATATTTTTAACGGATTTTCAACCTAACGCAAGATAACAATAGATTGAAAGATTGTTTACAAAGTTCAGAGTTTAATAGGATTAATATGAATGTTTCGAACTTTGTTTGGCCAAAACCTGAATTCTCTGGTTTATCATGGAAATGAGCAGTCATAAAAATAAACGAGTCACATTGTCCTAATAGTGACACAGTTTCTGCACGTATCACTGATACGTCATTTTGTAAGACCAAACTGGGTCAGGTTGACTCACGCAAGAGTAAGAAGTGCAGCGCTATTCGGACAACGTCTCTCTCATTTTTCTGACTGAATTTAATTTTATGAATGGGTTCCATATTTAAATTGATTTAAATGACCAATTTACCGTCGATATCGTTTTAATTGAGCGCCTCAAGTTGGAAATGTGAGAAAAATTGATTTTTATAATGTTATAATTTAGAAAAAATGTAATAAATTTTAGTGGCTCTCTGATTTAAAAGTTTGTGTTGTTATAAACGACCCGAAAATGTTATGTTTGAGTCATTTGAGTTACTCGAGATATTTTTTGTATAAGTTAATTCTGTCATGAACTTTTAAAATGCAATTACATTTATCTCATTTGTTCCGTTCCAGAACGATGATGAGTTGTGTTGACATCATTACATTTATTCTAATGGATTGTGCAAAATATCTTTTTGCTTGTAACGCCACTGATCATTTATATACTTCATGCCTTTATAAAAATTCACTAATTTCTTTTTTGTCAATGATGTTACACGATATTTCTCTTGAACATCTGCTGGAAGTGATTCATGATAGTTAATATAATTATTTCTCATTAAATAATGATGAATAATTCGCTATGCATTATCATTCATCAAATACTGTAACTGGGACGATACGCCAATGTGCCTTGCATTTCATGTAATCTTACTGTATGTGCATAGCAACATCACAATGTATTACATTCATGTCTTCATTTTCCTGTCTCAATAATATGCATCTTCTTTAATTCTCAGATACACAATGCGACGGTATAAATTTTTTTCTGTTCCGATTTAAAATTTTGAAACTGACGTTTTAAATTCGAATTTTCAACTCCCATTTATACTTGTATCCCTCTTACCCCCCCCCCCTTAGGCGTAAGGGGGCAAAACGCCCCCCTAGATTTGTAGTGTTTGGCGCTTGACAGGCCGTGCATGTCTGTCTGTTACTGTCAACCACAGGATCTTTGGTAATAAAGTGGAATAATTTATACAGATGTATACTTCACACACAACTGTCATCCTCAGGCGCGTGTAAACAATGTCCTGTTAACACGTGTAAACAATGTGACTCACGGGCACGTGTAAACAATGTGACCAACGGGCACGTGTAAACAATGTGACTCACGGGCACGTGTAAACAATGTGACCCACGGGCACGTGTAAACAATGTGACCCACGGGCACGTGTAAACAATGTGACTCACGGGCACGTGTAAACAAGATGACCTACGGACAGTTCCTAGTCGCCAGTTAATAACAGATTTACTCTCGCATATGAACATCCGAAAACTTCATTAACATTTCGAATTAATTCAATTACTGTTCTATGGTACATATTTCTGTAGTGGATCTAAAAAATGAATTGGAGAATCAGCAAAAACAGGATTAGATTGCACTTGTTTATCTACAAATGAGAGCTATCTTATTTTGTAACATTAAAGTAACATTCGCAGCGTGACCGAAATGATAAAACATATAATATATCAACAGGTCTGATATAAATCATAAAATTTTAAACACTAGTATTAAAGTGAAAGGTAATCGGCAATCAGACAATCGGCCAATTTTCACTGCAATTTGCATGAAATAATAAAAAAACTTTATATTCATCTTTTACAGTAGTTACAACATTCATAATGTACCTATGGTAATAGAATTTACAGAAAATGCTACTGGATTCAAAATGTTGATAATGAAATTCTGGTGCTATTTATAACTAGTTGCACGAGCATTTAATGTAGAATAAAGACATGAACGAGAAAAAATTGAATGTACTAATCTTTGAAAATTAAGTATGTCTGGAGAATCAAAGTAAAATTAGACCTTATTATTACTTACAGCTATAATGCCAGCATATTTTTTCATTCATTAAGAATATAGTTAAAGTAACAGCGATGTCATTCTCCACTAACATTCTTTAAGTAACTTCTGTAATGATAACACCTTATGCTGCTTTAAAATATCTGTTTGGAGACAACGAATAAGGATCTGGTTGAGTAATCGGTGTAATTAAGATTAAAAGGGTACGTGGAAAAATGGCTTAAAAGAAGGCTGTGGGATTTGAGAAAGAAGGCTTAAAAGAAGGCTGTGTGATTAAAAAATTGCTTAAAAGAAGGCTGCGTGATTTAAAAAAAAAGGCTTAAAAGAAGGCTGCGTGATTAAAAATAGGCTTAAAAGAAGGCTGCGGGATTAAAAAAAGGCTTAAACGAAGGCTGCGGGATTAAAAAATTGCCTAAATGAAGGCTGCTGGATTAAAAAATGGCTTAAAAAGAAGGCTGCGTGATTTAAAAAAAATGGCTTAAAAGGAGGCTTCGTTATTTGAAAAAATGGTTTAGAAGAAGTCTGCATCATTAATAAAAATGCTTAAAAGAAAACTGCGTGATTAAAAAATGGCTTAAAAGAAGGCTGCGTGATTTGAAAAAAAAAACATAAAAAAAGGCTGGGTGATTGGAAGAAATGACTAACACGAAAGCTGGGTGATTGGAAAAATGGCTAAAAAAAAGGCTGGGTGATTAAAAAAATTGCCTAAAAGATTAATAGTCAATTTTATAATGCTAATCTTAGACATGCGCGTTGTGACATTGCAGCGGGTACTTAAAAATTGTTTCTTGTGACAATGATTTAGAATACTGTAGTTATTCTCATACATAGCCTATTGTGACATTTTAAAGTCTTCAAATGAGTATTTCAAGTTTTCAAATGGTGAGTAGATTATTTGCTTTTATATCTATTGAAATGTAAAGAACGGAACATTTTTTTAAGTACTTTAACTTGCTCCAATTTCTTCCAACTATTATTTACTAATAGAACATTCCGTTAATTTAACGCATAATTAAAATTATATCAATATAAAAATTGCAAAAAGATGAAATTTCGTGAATTCTGCAAGCACACCGCGTCACTAGTGCGAAAGTTATTGCAATTTCATGTCATTCAGAAAAATGAATTGGTCAAACTGTGCAGATAGTGACACAATTTTACGCACAGCACAAGCGCTGTTGGGACAAAGCCACAAATAATTTTTTGAGTGATTCATCCTGCACCTTGAAAAGCGTCTAGCAAGAAAAAACGCTACATTTAATAGGAGGGAAAATCTTGCAACATGCTAGGCAACAGAAATAGTGAACTAGAATTTATCAAATATTTCCTCTCAATATCAAGGTTACTTTTCCTCTAGATTCAATTCCATTCTATCACTGCTACACTGTTAGAAAAAACGGTGAAAAAACGGTCCCACTGGCGTTCTAGTGGCCGGTCGCCCCGTGAAAATAAACTGTTTCGCCGTTTTTATCAGATGTTTTACGGATTTCTGGTGTTAAATTAGAATAAAAAACGGCGACACGGTTTCTTTTCACGTGCCGACCGGCCACTGAAACACCGGTAATACCGTTAACGATAATTTTTCTAACAGTGTAGAAAAAAGGGACTACAAGCAGATTGCGTCTTTACAAACTTTTATACTGAAATACTTGCTTGTCGACCACTTGTCACTAGTCCCTTATCGATGCTACTATCATGCACCTAGTACATCTATGCATCATTATTCAAGAGATAGCTTAACACTTAAACTATCATTTAACCACGTCATTAAATGTAACACTGGAGTTATTCACCTACAAGTAATATTTTCATTACAGAAACAGTGTAAGAACCGAACGATCGTAAGTGTTAGCTACGTAACTACCCAGTAAAAATTTACGGACGCGGCAGCTTCTGATTACCAGAAGCTGGGGCGACTCTAAATTTTGTTAGGGTAACGGCGCACTCAGAGGAATGAGTGAGACATTGTCCAAATAGCGATGCACTTCTTGCCCTTTTGAGAGTCATCCTTGCCGAGCTTGACCCTGCAAAGGAGCGTGTGTGTCACTGCAGTAAGTGTGTCACAATTTGCAAAGGAGCGTCAGCTGCAGGAAGTGTGTCACAATTTGCACAATACGACTCATCAATTTTTCTTAGTGCGCGGATTGTTTTCCTCTATTTAATATTTTCTTACCTTGACTGCGCACTAATCAGGGACCATAATTTCAAAAATTGCTACGTGAACGTAAGTACTTACGCTCTATTTTCTTGTCTATGATTAAGTGAACGTAAGTACTTACGCTCTATTTTCTTGTCTAAGATTAAGTGAACGTAAGTACTTACGCACTATTTTCTTGTCTGTGATTGGTAGATTTTGCTTGAAAGGCCGTCAATGATTGGCTGATGAACTTACGATCTCTTAACTTTTTTTTGAAAGTACAGGCCCAGGCAGCAAATTAAATAAGTGTGTTACAGAATTAGTAATTAACTATGAAGTTGCTAGTTGTCAATGAATGCAACCAGGATGTAGCGCGTGCCCTTGGTTGTTTGCAACCCCTCATGGTAGTGGGTGAGGCGACCAGGATGCATCAGCGCCCAACCCATCCTGGTGTCAACCACCGAGCAGTTGTACCTGCAACCATGGCTGGGTTGAAAATATAATTCAACCTATTTCACTGATGCTTCACTGTACGTAATACGAAATAAATGCATCTCTGGCAAAACTGAGATATTTCCGAGCAGTTGTACCTGCAACCATGGTTGGGTTGAAAATATAATTCAACCTATTTTATGTAACCTATTTCAACCTATTTTACGTGACCTATTTCAACCTATTTTATGTAACCTATTTCAACTTATTTCATGTATGAGGTCTTGGGAATTGATACTTTCTTTGCTTATGCTTAAATTTTCGCCAAATCTTTTTAGTTCGATACATCAAACAAAAGAATAATAATCGATTTAGTTTTATATATTAGACACCATTACATCATTCAATTAAGGTATCATCTATTTTTCACTCGATTATGTATAGATGTACATTTGATTAACGTGAATAAAGTGCACCATTTTATAATTAAAAAATTACTCAACTGCACAAAACAATTATGATAAACATCCAAGAGCTAAAAAAACCTTTGTCTCTGCCACAATCTTTTCCTTAAAACTAAAAATAATAGTTAACCATTAACTACGCTCGCTTTACCAGGCTTCAAATAGTTTTCAATAAACTTCAATGATGATGCATAACAGGCTGTTATTATTACTAATACAATCTAGGATTTGAAAGCTGTACACAAAATTATTTCATATGCTGTCATACATGTTAAGATTCTTTTAACATTTCTAATTATTTTACTGAATAATATTGATAATTATTAACGTGAATCAAGGGCAGCATTTTATAATTGAAAAATTACTCAACTGCACACAAAACATCAATGATAGACATCCGAGAGCTTAAAAAAGTCTCTATCACTGCCACAATCTTTTCATTAAAAGCTTAAATAAAAGTTAACATTATATTGAATAATATTGATGATAATTAATTCTGACCTGATGAAGCGTGCTCCTCCACCCTCATAGTCGATGCCAGGCCTATTCAGGCCTACGTTGATGGTGTACGTGGAACTGTCGTGATGCGGTCTAAGGAAAGATTGTTCAGTAGGCCGATAACGCACCACAAAAATCAAGTCCGCTCGGGCATCGCTTGTGTATCCGAGGTAAACCTTCTCAGCCAAAGGCTTAATGTATTCCTTCAGGATCCAAAGGGCTTCTTGCTGGAATCCTATCTGCGTCATATGGATATCTACAGTCGGTACGTTCTCATATCCACCGGAAATTCGTTCGTCCGTATTCTTACCACCGGACCACTCCCCATAGTCTTCCATGGTCTCGATGAGGTCTGTACAGAACCGTTCAGAGAAAACTGGGAACCAATACACGTCTGGACATGGAAGTTCATTAAGTGTGCTCAGGTTTAAGGCTTTATAATAATCCGGATGCAGATACCGAGCCTCCCAATCTTCCCTGTTCATGGCTACGTGCCATAAATCTGGGTGCAGTTTATCCACGGGATATAGGGCGTTATCCACCAGGTGTCCGTAGTGTTCTAGGTTTACGGCGTACATAAGAACGTCCTGGGAATAAACATGAGTTATTAAAATTATTACAATAAATAAATCAGTTTCTATTTCGAAACTTATATTCTAAATAAATATCCGTAGAAATCTGTTATGGCTTCCTATGAGCTTTAATTGTATATTAATGGATAAATCTTGGAGTGCGAAAATTTCGCTACAGCAACTTTTTTCGAGCACGACTAAAACAAGATTCAACAGGAAAAAACTTGAATTTCAACTGATGTAGCTCAATCACATATTTGGGAAAAAATAAAATTCGCGAAAATCTCGAAAGTTGAAATTAAAAACCGCACTATTTCCTAATTTATAAGCGTTTCAGCGTTACGTTTTACGTTCCAGCGTTTCAGCGTTTTGAAAACTGCATTAAAATTTATGGACTCGTTCTAGATACAGTATATATCTCAATATCAACTGCTATATCGATTTTTTCAATATCCCCTGCTATATATTAAATTTTATTCACTCATTAAAATTGTAGCACCTTTAACTGTGGAAAATTCGGAGAACAAATTGGAATTTTCTGCTAATCTACTTATTAAATCACAAGAACCTAAAAAAATATATAAAATTTCCAAATAATATCGTTAGCGTACGATTTATCGCGTATAATGAAGCAAATTGAGATTGAATCTGAATTGGTATAACTGCATAATAAAGACAGAAGCATCTAATAAAACACACAGAGCTTTACAATATAGATAATAGTACAGTTCAATTAATATTTAATCACCACAATAGTTCGCTTTAGTATTTCAATTTCTTCATAGAACTAATTTGGCCGAAATCGTTCCTCTTTGATATGTAAATAAATCACATATAAAGTAATTCATCAATCAATTCTGATGTTGACCCCCAAATAAATGGAAAACTATACCTACACAAAAATTCGTTTCAATTATAAAATCTGATTTATATTACACTGGATAACTGTAAAAACTTATCAACCGGTAGAAAATTTTAAAACTCAGTTTTTATTTGAGATGTTTTGGAAAATATTACGAAGATAGGGGTGTTTCGATGCCGTATACTCCATGAAAATTCACAATAATAACATTTCAAAAAATGAGTGTTAAAAAAATATTTCAAACATTCAAATATAAGGCAATTACTGGCGTCGTACCTTAGCTCTGTAGTTGGTTGCCATGGCGATGTCAGCGTCGAAGAGATTATGTATGTAATTTGGTCGCAGTTCTTCGTCTTCTAGCACCGACTTCTGTATTAAATACACCCCACTGATGTATGGAACTGCCCAGATGCCCCTGCAAACAAAAAATTAATTATTTTCTTGAACATTTTTATTTGTCAACGACAAAAGGTTAAGCTTATAGTAAAGGTTTACTACTCAACTAAGATAGAATGATAGTTTATAGCCAAATATCATTGTCAGCTGATAAATGATAATCAAGTCTTGAAAATCAATCAACAAACAACAAATGATATATAAGGGTACTCAAGGACTGGGCACGGTAAACCCTCACTGCATTAGAGGACTGGCATGGTAAACCCTCACTGCATTAGAGGCCTGGGCACGGTAAACTCTCACTGCATTAGAGGACTGGGCACGGTAAACCTTCACTGCATTAGAGGACTGGGCACGGTAATACCCTCGGTAATAAGAAGCTTTGCACTGCAAAGTAGATTGCAACGTAAACCCTTGATGAATCGCTAAGGCTTTGCATCTCAAATGCCCAACAAATGCTAATAAAATCTAGATGGAACGATACAAGCCTTGCATTATTTAGAAACTAAGCGGTGTATACACTTAATAATCAAGATACAGTGCTCGATGATGAGACAAGTCTATTATATTATGATGCTAGCCGATTAAAAAACGTTCAAGGGTTTAATGTCCAATTTAACGTCGGGTGTGGAGAGATTGGACACATCGAAACTACTCGTACAATTTAATTGAAAATTCGAAATTAAAATGTGGAATCAAACATAAATTTTGACATTTCGACAGCTTGTCCTTATGCATTTAACTTGAACCATATCTTAAGAATTAATTCAAAGAAAGATCCCCCGACACTAAAAATAGAATGAAAACATGTGAACATGTTCACGAGTAAACAAGTGAACATGTTCATGAGTAAAACAAGTGAACATGTTCATGAGTAAAACAAGTGAACATGTTCATGAGTAAAACAAGTAAACATGTTCATGAGTAAAACAAGTGAACAAGTTCATGAGTAAAACAAGTGAACAAGTTCATGAGTAAAACAAGTGAACATGTTCGTGAGTGAAACAAGTAAACATGTTCATGAGGATAAAAAGTGAACATGTTCATGAGTAAAACAAGTAAACATGTTCATTAGTAAAACAAGTGAACATGTTCATAAGTAAAACAAGTGAACATGTTCATGAGTAAAACAAGTGAACGTGTTCGTGAGTAAAACAAGTGAACATGTTCGTGAGTAAAACAAGTGACCATGTTCATAAGTAAAACAAGTGAACATGTTCATGACTAAAACAAGTTAACATGTTCATGAGTAAAACAAGTGAACATGTTTTTGAGTAAAACAAGTGAACATGTTCAGGAGTAAAACAAGTGAACGTGTTCATGAGTAAAACAAGTGAACATGTTCATGACTAAAACAAATGAACATGTTCATGAGTAAAACAAGTGAACATGTTCTTGAGTAAAACAAGTGAACATGTTCATGAGTAAAACAAGTGAACATGTTCAAGAGTAAAATAAGCGAACACGTTCAGGAGTAAAACAAGTGAACATGTTCAAGAGTAGAACAAGCGAACATGTTCATGAGTAAAACAAGTGAACATGTTCATGAGTAAAACAAGTGAACATGTTCAAGAGTAAAACAAGCGAATATGTTCATGAGTAAAACAAGTGAACATGTTCATGAGAAAAACAAGTAAACATATGCAGGAGCAAAACAAGTGAACATGTTCATGGGTAACATGAATCTTGGTGATAAAGTGGTAACATGAGCGTCCGAGCGAGGCGATATTCCAGATATTATTTATTTCTATATTGTCGATATCTGGAAGATGTTTTTGCTGTGGTACCCTTAGAAAATATTACAATGTACAGTAATCAATTACTGAATCAGCGAATGAGTGTGAATGAGTTTCAAAAAAAAAAAACGAAATTGACTGTCATTAATTGTTGTATAGATAGATTAGGTAGTGCATATACTGGGTATATGCACTACACTGGGTATACTGGGTATATATGTTATGACGCAGCACAAGCTTTCTGTAAAATAACGAGAACATTTAAAACTTATCAAGATAACGAAGCGAGCAAATGTACAATATATTGATCGTGTTTTACTAATTACTAATTAATTTTTTAATACCCATTAGATTATGCCGCAGTCCAAGGGAGCCATGCTGAGTTTAAAGTCCCGCAGAACTTCACATTTTTTGCTGAATAACAAATATACAAAATTTGGCAGGATTAGACATTCAATAATATGAATAATATTAATAATATTATTCATATTATTAATATTAACGCATTCTTTGCAGACTACATTTCAGAATTATTTTCTTCAGTTTCGTTCTTAATCGTTTATAGCGCATTTTCTCATTTATGGAAAAAATGCACTATTGTGCTCGCCATGTCCGTCCGTCTGTCTGTCCGTCTGTTTGTCCGTCCGTGACTTCATATTTTCGTCGACGAGAAAATGCGCTCTCTGTCACTCACTGCAGTGAGTACTGAGTTATATTTTTTGAAATATTTTTCACGATAATTTAACAATTTATGAAATAATAATGAATTTAAATTTTATAGTAAATGTGTAAAAAATGCTTCTGAATCAAATAGCTTTAAAATATGTGAATAATAATTGTAATTTTACATGGAGCACCATGACGTCTTGAAAGATATTTTGCTATTCGTATAATAAGTTTGACAACAAACAAGTATTCAATCTTCAATATACTTCCTGCTTAAAAACATGCATCATTTTACAATATTGTTTACGTTTTACATATCCAATGAAAGTTCCATGTTCTTGAAGTATGATTAAATTTTAACAAAATTGGCTCAGCAATATAACGGGGACGCAATATAAATTCCCGGAAAGCATAAAAAATATTGCCTTAGCGCAGCTCGCATGCTTAAGATATTATTTTTCATCGAAAATATGTTTAAAAAATATAAATAGCTCAATTATGCAGGGGCTATATTGCTTAGCGCTCCGTAAATTCTGAAAAATTGACGAACGTAACAGGTTTTCGGCATTAACAAAAATGTTGGGAAAATTTCGAGGAAATTTACAGATTTTCCAGGCAGGTCAACTACGAGATTTCTGAAGAATTACTCGAAAAAGAGTGTTGAGAATTTATTTGATCAAATCTAAATGATGAAAGCTAAATGCTATACCTATATTTTATTTAAATCGTAAACTGTTAAGTAATGTATTCACACTTTGGTCGAAAATTTATATTGTGTTGAATGCATTAAATACAGTACGTACTCCGGTGAATTTTAGAACCTAGCCTATGCAAAAGTTAAAAAAATTCTATTACGACATAAAAATATAATAAAAAAATGTAATTAGATTTGAGAGAAGATTGGGAAGATAAAATAGAGAGATAATTTTTTAGCACATCTCTTACGAATGTGGAGACAATGCTTTCTGCCTTCAGAATATCACGAATATCATTATTTTCACAAATAAATAAATATAAGCTACATTGAAAAAAAAAACTTAAAAAGCGCTGATATCTATCATATACTCTATCATATACTCTATAATATTAATGAATAAATATCTGATCCGGTGGTAGTACACAATGTCATGAGGCAGCACAAATTATGACAAAATTAAGCCAAAATGTGGCATCATAAACTTATCCAGCATTTAGGGTGTGCTGGGCAGCAAAAGACGAGCATAGAAGCTTCAAGCAAAGACCAAAGTCAAAGAAAAATCCAAGCCAAAATCAAAGACACACAAGCGCTAAAATCAAAAACACACCAGCACCAAAACCAAAGACACACCGGCACCAAAATCAAAGGCAAATCCACGCTTAAATCAAGACGCACCAGCGCCAAAGTCAAAGCCACGCCAGCACCAAAATCAAAGTTACACCAGCATCAAAATCGTAGGCAAATCCACGCTAAAATCGAAGACACACTAGCGCTAAAATCAAAGACACACCAGCACCAAAATCAAAGACCAATCCGCGCTAAAAGTCCCCGTCAACAGAAGGAGCTTCTCATAAAGGCATCAACTATAAAGCTTGTTCAGCGCCCCAGCCTCAACTTCATCTGATATCAAAGAAGACGCGCGGCACAACGCACAACTCTTGCAAGATGATATCCTGCATACAAGTTCTTAGTTGAATTTCATGTCTGGCGAGGCAGTACGCGTTAAAATATTTAGAAATACAGTTACCTAAAAATTTGGGACATATCCATTAACATGGCATGATCTAAAGACGAATGATATATGTATGTCACTTAACATATTGATGTTTAATGATATTCAGAATATATACAATTGGAAGTAAAATGTTGCGCATCTAAAATACCTTGAATACAATGAGAATTTGAATAGTGTCGATTTCCAGTCGGTATGAAATCGAATAAGTCATAATCGATATCACAAATACGGCGAGAGATTTTGAACACAATTACCGCATTTATTAACCCTTGCCTAACCAACACTTGGTGGTTATGTTAAATATTAGCAGACGAATTAATTGTCTGCTAAACGTTTCGATTAGTTTTTAGAAAACCACAAAATGGTCTGCTATAAATGACAAACACTCATAAATAATTTTCAATTAGAACTTCCTGGTTTGCTCGACAGCAGAGAACAATTCAAGGCCTCGTATTGATATTTTTTGGCCTCTATTTATTTGTGTTAAATAATACACTTTTATTTTTACTTATGACGAATAGCATCGCGCTGTTTAGTCTACATTTCCTAAATAATTAGAAATGTCTTGCAGAGTTCTCATGTACAGGATATTTAATGGCATGCCCCCGGTTCAGTAGAAGGTTTATGTGTTCACACTGCGAAAATAATTGGTTCTCGTCTGAGCAATACGATAGGTCAGGCCAAATACAATCAATTAATTAACCATTATCGTACAAATCTGCCTACATCATTGTTTTGACGACCCGTGATGTTATTCTGTCTCAAATGTATCGGTCTCGTTTGTACCTATTAAAAAATTTAAATCTTTAATGTAATTTGCCTGAATTTTTAGTCATAGTTTAACTTACTTTCTTACTTAAAGGAATTAAGAATTCTAAATTTCTCCAATACTTTTTCTAATATAC